TAAATGTCCTCATTAAATTTATCTACTAATGATATACATATGACAATGTTTTTTATTTTTGTTTTAGGATAGACCAAAGTTAATTGTACTTGGTCTAGGCCTCTGCCTTGCCTTATGGCCAAAAATTAAAGCCTTGGCCTTGAAACTGTTGCTCTTGGCCTTGATTGTTTTGGCCTTTGGCCTTCAAAATTAAATATATAGAATTAAAGAATTAAAAGTTTTTATTCTTTATTTTTATGTGTTTTTGTTTTCGGCTTTTGTATATATCTACAAGTATATTTTCTTATTGACTTTGTTGAATTCTGCGCATAACCTTGGTTTATTTTTACATTTGGTTTTATTGTCACAGCAATTGTTTTCTGCAGTTTTGTTAATAATTAGCATTAATGTAAGGCAAAAATTTAAGTCTTCGGTCTTAAAAATGTTTTTATATTCCTTGGCCTTGAAACTCTTATTCTTGGCTTTGACCTTAAAACTCTTGGCCTTGGCTTTGGTCCTTGTAACTTTTGGCCTTGGTATTGACCTTAGCCTTGTAACATGTGAGATCACAATCGAATTCATACAAGACCACAATCGAATTCATATAATTCTAATTAAATTATTTAAGACAATTAAAAAAAAAAAATTTAACTTTTAAAGAGTCTATTCATCTGCATTTTTTAATTCAACTCACCCATGTTGAGTTTATAAATTTCAATCCAAAATTTCACCATGAAATTTAGGATTGAAATTTATAAAGTTACCAAGAAAACAGAAAAAGCAAGTCAGGAACAATTTGATATGGTCAAAGCTGTTTTAGTTTCATTACTGTCAAGTTACTCTCAATTGTTTTACACGATGTGGGATGGGAATAAACGGATGGATGGGATTTTTTATCTAAATATAATAAGGGGAGATAAGAAAAAAAGGATTAGGGGGAGGTAGTCTTAACAAACAGATGAGTGGGAATTTTTTTTTCTTCCTATAAGTATGTTTTTATTTTTTAATTTTTAAGACCTAAACAGATCTTAAAAAGTAGAAAATAATAACTAAAATTTAGTAAAATTTAACAAACAAGGGGAGGGGATCTTTATAAGCTCAGGATGGGTGGGAAAATTTTTGGAAAATTATTAAACATCAACTGCTGTGTTTTAAACTGTACTACCACTTTTTTTTTTCCTTTTTGTTTTTCATAATTCCTGTTTTTTAAGTAATAAGTTTAGGTAAACATGACCATGTTTTTTTTTTCTGTTTGAGAAAAAGCCACTCTCCATTTCTTTGTAATAACTCTAACTAAATTATTCAGGAAGCAATGTAGCTTGATAAAAATCAAGCTTCATTGACATTTTTGAAACTAAACTCGCCCCAGTAAAATTGCAATAAAGGCTAAAGTTACCAGAGGTGGAAAGTAACAAATTACATTACTGTTACTGTAATGAAGTAGTTATTTTGTGAATTTCTACTTTTTCAGTATTTTTTTAAATGTGTACTTTTACTTAAGTATTTTTTTTCTAAAGTATTGTACTTCACTACATTTGAAATCATGCATTACTGAGTAAAAAAAATTATTGTGTATTGTTTAATTTCACAAATACCATGATTTAATTTTTTTGTTTATTTGAGTTTTGCTCACTTTAATAAAAGTGACACTTTTAAATTTTACTTTTAATTGGTTTAGCTTGGTTTCTTTTCACTTTTACTTGTACTTGAGTAAAGTTGCACTCAAGTAACAATACTTTTTAAATTAAAATTTTTAAGTGGTGTAAAAATCAACAAAATCTGAGGCTTAGGGTTGCATGCCCTTGATGTTTTCACATGGAATCGCGCATTAATGAAGAATGTTCAGTCCTTGAATTGCTGCTATTTAAAATTCACACCTGTGTAAATTATAAAAAACTGACTGCATTGCTACAACCCTCCAAATTAGGAAAAATGAGGTCAGAAATAAATTGCCGATCTCAAAATGTTAGACATCGACATGTGGTTGACAAAAAAAAATTTGTCACAAAGGGGTTACCATAAAGCATTTAAACAAAGTTGACGATTATTTGCTGACCTCAAACACTTTTAGGTCAGCATTACCAAATACCGACCCTAATTCTATGGGCTGTTGCTAAGAAGTAAAAAAAGCACTCCAAACTTCCAATACGATTAATGGGAGAGCATTCGCTAAGGCTGCAACCCACCTGATACTAATAACTATGATCTTCAGCTAACAGTGGTTAACTGGCAAAAACAGTCAGTGACAGTAAAGTTAAATTTTTTCAACTGATTACAAAAAAATAATGAAAGACAGGATCTAATAAATAGATAATGCCCACATTGTACCAATGCAATGTTATACCCTTACATTAAAATACAAAAGTAATCTAATATTTTAGAGACCTTTTTTTTTTTTTTTTTATTTTAATTCACCTCCTCAAGGCCGAGAAGGCCACTACAGACGAGGAGGCTACTTATTTGTGGCTATAACCCTCTCTCAACTCTATAACTCCGAAACACGAACCTTGATGAACAAGGCCGCTGCGCGGATAAACGAGTTGAGCGCGGTACTACCAGGGACGTGGTGAGGATCGAACTCCGAACCACTTGTTTATGAAGTGAGTGCTCTACCACTACACCACTACCGCATTTTTACTTTTTACTGAACTCAAAGCTAGAGCTCTATGCTACTAACTACTTTAAATTTAATTCTATTATATATTAGGGTGGTCATTAAAACTAGTTTTTTTTTTAAATGTCTGCTATCACCCTCTAAATGTGTTCTATATAATAAAATAATACTAAAGTTAAAAAATTTTTGAAAAAAAAAATTTTTTTAAGGGTAGCTCAAGATCCTTAAAAGGACCACCAAGTCCCGAGACATGTTGTGTTCATGTTAAAGAGAATGTTAAAAAAAACAACGTCTGAGCAAATTTTTTTTGATTAAAACTAATTAATAAATGTATACCAAGAAAAACAAATCTTGTTGTTTTAGTCGAAGCTTGTCTTCTCCATTTTCTGCGGTATTTGGAGTCTTTAAAATAAACGCGATTTTCTCAGCGTATTATACATAATTTATTCAAGATCATTTAATTCATAGGAGTTTTAGTACACGAGTCATTGGAAACATTCTAGAAATTCTTTAAAGATTTTACTATTAATTTAACTAAAATAGCTAACTATAGTTAGTTATTTTACTTTTTAAAATCTTCACATTGAAAAATATTATGTTTTTTTTGTAGCTATCAGAGCCAGGGCGATGGTGGACCCTAGGGACCCCTATGGTGCCAAATCGGGTTATATAAAATCTCCAAGATATAAAAAAAAAAGAATACACTAATGAAATCATAATAGTTTAAAAGATTTACGGCTTTGCAGATGTGGCTCCAAGAATTAGCCATAATATTAAAGTAATAGTTCATTTGATAATACATTCTTACAATAATTTATGCTAGATATATCAAAACGCAACAAATCATGAATAAGACAATTGGTAAAACATTTAAACAGAATACTGTAGAACTTTATTTCGCTTAGTCAGTGATTTTTTGAACCAATAGAATTAATTTGTTCATAAATTTGGCAGGTTTTTAGTGTTCGCAAATATTCTTTTTATTCTTCTGGAAGATGTTTTAATAACATTCAAAGTTAATTATTTTTCCATGTATGTCCGTAAAACAAAAATTGATATATATTATTTTTTTGATTTTTAAGCCCCCGCCATAATATATATTGGATGTTATAATAATGGAAATATAAATAATGAAATAAGATCACCTCAATACCAAAAAATACATTTTTTGAAAAGCAGAGAAAAAATGCCTTAATAATTTTTTTTTATTATTTGCAAAGTAAATTAATAAAAGTGCATTATTATTTTAGGTTATAAATTATTTTATCTAATATTTTAAAAGAAAAACTTATAATAAAAGAAATCAAAATACATGTGGTCTAGACGATTATTTAAAAAAAGTTGCACAAATAAATTAGTATTTTGTTTTTAATTTTTTTACAAACACATTTTAGAACTTTAAAATATAATCAAAATATGATTTGGAAATTGTATGTAAAAAATAATAATCAGTGTTTTAAACAAACTAACAAAAAATCTATGACATCATGTACTAAAACTCCTATGAATTAAATGCACTTAAATAAACTATCAAGTCTGTATAATATGCCTGGAAAATCGCATTTATTTTAAAGACTCCAAATACCGCAGAAAATGGAGAAAATAAGCTTCGACTAAAACAACAAGATTTGTTTTTCTTGGTATACATGTATTTAGTTTTGATCAAAAAAAAAGTTAATTAAACTTTTTTTTTTAACATTCTCTTTTATATTAACAAAACATGTCTCGGGACTTGGTAGTCCCTTTAAACACTAGATGGGTCCCTATAATTATCAGAAAAATAGTTCTTCAAAAGTATATCATTTTGGGTCTCAAAAGAAGCAAAATTATATAAAAATTTTAAAAGCAGTCATCATTTTATATAAAACATTTAAATTTTATATAAAAAAAAAATCAAAATTATATTTTTTTGTAAAAATGTATTTTTTTTAATTTTTAGTTTGAAAATGTCATTTTCTAGGCAGTGAAATCTAAAATAATAATTTTTTTATAAAATGATGACTATTTTAGAAATTTTATATAATTTTGCTTCTTTTGAGACCCAACATATATACTTTTGAAGAACTATTTTTCTGATAATTAAAGGGGTCCATATGGTGTTTAAGAGATTTTTTTTTTTTTTAATTTTTTTTTATTATAAAGTAATATTAAGTATATATTTATGTTACTTAATAGCATTATTATTTATTTATATATATTTTAGTTCATATATATATATATATATATATATATATATATATATATATATATATATATATATATATATATATATATATATATATATATATTATATAAATTTTAAATAAATCGTGTCTTGGTTTTACAAAAAATGCGAAACCTAGATTTTCTCACTGGAAAAAAGTATCGATCTAACTTTTGTTTCTTAATTAAAATGTTTATTGTTTAGAAAACTTCATGAAGAACCAGTATGCACAAAGTGTTCTTATAATATTGAAGTTCATGGTGAGGTAAAAAAAAGTAAATTTTTTTTTGAATAGTCAGCAAAAATTAAGCAAGTGGTGCCCTAGTTAAAACAGCTTTACTATTTAAGAAGTTTTTTTTTTTTTTTTTCAGGTTTATAAAAAAGTTTTCTTAGGGACTTACTAATAAATCATCTCTTAAAAATTTCCAAAACAATAGCACAAAAGTTTTTTTTTATATAAATATAATCAAGTTTCATCTACTGTAAAGCTATTATTACAATATCTTTGTTTGAATTAAAACTTTTTCAATTGTAAAGATATAAAAATATATAACTCAAGATTTCAAGATCTGTTTTCTTTATTTTCTAAAGATATTGTGTGAACATAATACTTAAACTTTAAATAAAAAGTTTTATTAAAATTTTGATTCTAATAAATATATTATAATTTTTATTTTGTGAAAACGTCACCTGAGAATTAGTTTAACAGACCAATTTACATATTGTTGGTAAAATGCAGTTAAAATTTAAGAGGGTATTACTGCTCTTGCATTTTATTTTCATCTAGTTAAGGTGTTTTAATGTATTATCTTAACTTAAGGTGTTTTAATGTATTATCTTTACTTAAAAATTTATAATAAAATGATATTTATCTAAAATTAAAAATTAAGTCTATTTATCTAAAATTAAAAAGATATTCACATACCTTATTGGTACATTAAACAAAACTGCACTGAGTATAAGTCTTTAATAATTTATATATCATAATCCCATATATTAAACAATTTTTTTTTTAATTAATTATTCACCTCCCCAAGGCCAGAGGAGGCTACTCTCAACTCTCTCAACTCTTTAACTCCGAAACAAAAACCTTGACAAGCAAGGCGGCTGAGCGGAGAAATTAAGTTGATTATCACGATAAATAATATGCTTATATTATATTATCTTTTTTTGCTATAGAAATTTTATTTAAAAAAGGGCATTAAAAAAAAGACTCGAAAAAAATTCTTCTATTAAACATATAGATTATGACACACGCCTGAAGAACTGTACTATAACTATAATATTTACAGTTTCATAGATATCAGCAGACTATTTTATTATCTTTACTTTTTATTTACAGTTTCATAGATATCAGCAGTCTATTTTATTATCTTTACTTTTATGGGTCTTTTTATTTTTAAAATCAATTCATAATATCGTTTGTCTATATGATATGGAAAAAATTTGAGCATTTTGACTAAATCTCTTTTAAATTTCCAATTGTTTAATTTCCTTTGTTCCAAGTGAAAAGTCCTAAGTTTTCAGAGCCATACCTTTTGGCAATTGCATTAAAACAAATTTTGTATTTAAACAAAACAAAGGATCTAATAATGATAATAATAATAATAATAGTAATAATAATATTAGTGATGATAATAATAATAACAATAATATTAATTAAACAATAATATTAATTATTTTGTTATATATATATATATATATATATATATATATATATATATATATATATATATATATATATATATATATATATATATATACACACAGGCCTTGTTTTAAATAAAAAAGTTCTTAACGCAATGTTTGACGTCATAAGCTTATCTTTATTTTTTTTTATAGACGTGTTTTAACTACCACAATAAATAAGTAACCGCAAACTAGTTCAATTTAACAATTAACTCAATTAAAACAATGTATAAATGTTGTAAATGTAAATATATTATAAAAAGTTTGTTGTGTTTTCAATTGTTATTTTAATATTAAATTTAGTTCAATATTATGAAGTAAAATATATATATATATTTGTTATTTCAAAAAATTGTAATTGCGTTATTTAATTTAAAAAATTTATATTTTATTTTTTAAAACTTCCGGAGTATACAAAAAGTATTAACATATTGATAAATAAAAGCCCTTGCTTATTACTTGAACAGCGATTTTGTTTTGACTAGGTTTTTAAATATATTATGTATATTTATGTTGCTCAGCGTTTTCACTTGCGTTGTATAAAAGTATATAAAAAAAGTTAAATGCCTGTTTTGAGCATATTTTTGCACTAAGATAAAACGCTTTCGCCAGGAATTTAATGAATGAATGTTTTACATTATAAATGTTTTACATTTAAACAAATCACAAAAAACCACAGAGCTATAGAGAATAATTTTTTTAACTACTAAATTTTTTTTTTTTTTGAATTTTATTTAACAAAAAAAAATTAAATTACATAAAAAAGTTTTAATTATTTATACTCTTTTGTTAATAATTCTCCAAACGAAAAACTTTCGTGCAAACTTAAAAAAGTACTCAAATAAAACAATAAAAGAATATTTAATAAATCGTATCATATCTGTTTATAATAAACATTTGTTAAAAATTGTTCATAAAAAATTAAGTTTCTTAACTTATAAACAAACTCAAAAGTATTTTAATTTTATTACAAAACTCTTTTTTTTTTTTTCGTTTGCAAGCAATTTAATTCAGGGTAATAAAATAAAAAGAAGGAGAATAAATATGAGGTAATCTTTGTTAAGAAACATTTATTTATTGAACAATATTTATTTTTATTTTTATACTTAAATAAAATATACTGTTAAATAAGTCAAATTCAAGATTAATAAATTCATTTATCTATATAAACTTGAATATATAAATTTTATTTATTAGATAATTAGTTCACGAAGACTATCTGTTAAAAGATCATTGTCACTATCAATGTCCTCCGTATCACTTGTTTCGATTAGTTGATCGAAATCTGCCAAGTCTTTTTGAACTACTTCTTTTTTAGCAATATCAGTGACACATTTTTGGTGTTTTTGCGTGTACTTGGCGAGAGAATGCTCAATTATATCATCTTCTTCTGACCAAAGACTATGATTTCCAAGAATTACGACACAATCAGCAAGTGCTTCATGACTCAAAGAGAGGCGTTTATCCGATAAGATATTGGTAACAGTACTAAATGTTCTTTCAACTTCTGAATTGGACCCCGATATACACATAATTAATGACATAAGGCAACATAGGTTTCGATATTCCATAAAGTATTTTTTTAAAATAATTTTCCACAAACTGCGCACTGGATGACAATCAAACTCAGTTTTAACTAGCCGTTTTAGTTTTTTCCATTCATTTAACGCAACATCTTTTTGAAAACCCACATTTTTTAAAGGCGCTTCAAAATGGTTACAAATATAATTGATTTCCTGCACTCCTGATTCTAGGTCTTCAATTATCCAATATATTAGGTCAATAATTTTCATGCTTCTATACAATATAAATTCTCTTGAATAGTCCTGAAACCTAGTTGATAATATCGAATATAGTTTTAAAAAAATGTTTTTTTTTAATTCGACGATTTTCACCAATTGATTTGTCATTATCAAAACTATTCATTTCTAGTATTACGCTGATATACTTACGATTTTTGACGTGCTTTTGTTTATCACCAGCCTTAGCAAACAAACCTTTGACATCAGTTTTATCGGTGACAAAGTTGCGATTTATGAAGCTGTCAATAAATTCATCATCTTGCCCAATACATTTAATTTTATCTTCTATCTCCAATAGGGTTCGAGTTATAGTAGTAGGAATTTCATAAGCCAATAACTCATTGGTTTCGAATATTTTAGATGCAGGAATAACTACTTTCAAGCTGTCTAGATACAAACCAACTTTGTAGAGGAAAGAATGACACTTAAATGATTTCATAGGCCTTTCACTTTCGCTACAGTTTTAGAATTGGTCTATTTGCTTACATCATTTTGATAAGCCATAATAAAAGCTGGCCATGTTTCTAAAAAATTCAAAACTCCTCTCCTCCTGTGTCCAACAAACCTTGTTCCAGTAATTTTTGGTAAGTTGTAATGCATTAAACCGAGGCATTTTAAAGCTGCTTCAACTTCTGCTTTTAATTTACCTGAATTTCTTAATAGATTCTTTATAAAATCAGGAATTTTTTTATATGCATCTTTTACAGCCAATTCAATTCTATGATAAATTTTAATCAACCATGGACGGTTTTGCTGCAACTGGGAAAGCACACCTTTATGTATACCGAAGTTAACACTTGCCCCATCTGCTGTTGCACATACAACTTTGTTGGTATAATCTTCGGTACTTAATTTAAATAATGATTTATGCGATTCAAAAATACTGTTTATACCGATGGTCACAGAGTTAGAGTTGCTACCACCAAAAAGTGACATATTCAACAACTCTGTTACCATTGGTAACAGAGTTACCGATGGTAACTTTGTAAATTTGTAAATCGGTACGCCATTGTTATCAGTTCGAACTAAAACTAGTTCCTTTTCTTTTCCAGTTTTTCTTATTTGACTTCCATCACTAAGAATGGGACAAAAATTGCACCGTTGGAGGTTTTTAAAGCATTTTTTCCACACAGAGTCAGCACAACATTTAATCATTTCTCTGCATGTGCGCCCATTCTTGTTGCGTTTAATAAGGCTTGCGCCAGTAATTTTGGCGTACCTCACCTAAAATAGTCAAATACTAAAGTCAAATACATTCCGATATATAAAAAGGCTGTTGATCAGGCAATGGTATCTTATCTTTAATTTTTTAAAATTTTGTTGTCAAATAAATTATTATTTTATATAAATTTTATATTATATTTTAAATCAACCAATCAGACTACCGCGACTTTGAGGGGATGTTAAAAGAATGGTACCATTGAGGGAACAACTTATAAATAAATAAAAAATCATTAAGTAATAAAGTACAAGTAACAACATAAAACAAAGAAAACTTAAAACAAAGTATTTCAATGCAAATAGCAACTAATTTAGCACTTACCAAAACAGAAAAATGTGCGTGAGGCATTGTTAGGTGGCACGCCATTTCATAGGCAATTTTTACAAGGTTACAATAAGAATTTTGCATGTGTATTTTTTTCAGGGCAGAAGGGTTTAAACTGTATTTTGCATGTGTATTTTTTCAGGGCAGAAGGGTTTAAACATGAGCTTGTTGACAAATTTTTGAAAACAACCTAAATAAATAGTAGCATTTTTTTTTTTTTCCATTCTTGTTAAGGCGACGAAAACTCTACTTATATTTTTGACACTATTCATTAAATTCATTTGCGAAATTATTCCTTATTCTGTTATTCAATGCAAAAATTTTCGACACTATCCCTTTTTCACATTTTCGACAATCAAGTTTGTGACATTATTCTTGTCACCCATTATAACATGTAATAAATAGTTTTGTGAAAACAATTTTTTTTAGTAACAAAATATATTTTATAAAGTAATCGAACCTATGAGATGAGAACTTATAAGATAATATTATTGAAACATTTTTAGTTTAAAAAACTGTTATTTCAAAAGTATACTATAAAGTAAGTTATTTATTGATTCCGAAAATTATTGCATCCAGAGTATGCATTATTACTGTGTTGAAGCGATCGTCATATCATGTGACTTAAGTCAATTATAAAACGTTATTACGTTTTACATTTCGTGACTTTAGAATAATAAAGCTCTATCTCCATTTCTTGACGTTGGGAATCGACCATAAATTGGTTGTCGGTAAAATGCGATCTTTTTTGCAAACCAAAACATTACCTTTTAAAAACCATTATGAAAAAAATTATAATAAAAAAATCTCCCATTCTTAGTTATCTATCTTAAAGCTTTATTTAAAATAATTTTTTTTTTTTTAATTGTGAAACATGCGTGGAGTGTTGCTACATCAACTATCTTATAGCCTGACTTGCAACGGAGTGCTGCTACATCGACTATCTTATAGCCTTAATCACAACGGAGTGCTGCTAAATCGACTGAGGGTTTAGTTTAGAAAGGCAGTCTATCAAATAATTAAAAAAAAAACTTTATATTGTATTTGTCTAGTTTCACTTAATTTCTTTTTATTTCTTTTTAATTAATATTTTCCTTAAAATATACTGCTAAATGAACAATTTATCGGTAATATAACATTACATCATTGACAACCAATAGGACAATGATTCGCAAAAAAGTTCGCATTTTACCAGTTCGCAGTTCGCATTTTATCTAGTACCCCATAATTACGCAACGCTAAATTTCACTAATAAACAAGACAAAATTATCAAAAGTTTTCACTCGCAGAGCGTAAAGTTAAAAAAATAAATGAAAATAGCCTATTAATTTTAGTAAAAATCACCGAGTAAAAGAACTTAAGAACTCCTACAACTGTTTTTCAAATAACTTTAGCGTTGTGTAATTTATGGACGATCCCTTGAGGGAATTTAACTTTTGATATTTAATTATTTAATTATTCATTGTTTATATTGATCATATATATATATTTTAATTGTATTTATGTTTTATAATTAATTTTACATTATTAATTTTATTATTTTTAAACTTGCTTGTTTACAAATTAGTTGATTGTTACAACTTTATTAAACAAGGTTGAAACTAACAATGAAAAAAGAAAAACATACAGTTTAGATATTATATAAGTAACAATAAGATTAATATAGTAAAGTTATATAATTTTAAACGCTAAACTATTATAAATAAATACAAAAAATTAAACTTTTTCACTATGAACATTGGGAGATAGAACCATATAGTTCTCATCTACCGATATGCTATTTTGTCTTAAACCAATTGATATTACTCAATAAATAATAAAAATGTGTGTTTTAAGCAATCAATTAAACAAATTTGATGTTTTGATTATTTAATTTAACGAATTTAACAAACTTTTAAATTCTGTCAACATTACAAAAGTGAAATAGAACCCTAATATTCTAATGTCGCAGTTTACAAGAGTTAAAAATTATTCCAAGGCTAACAGCTTTACTTAGATAAATTTAATAAACCGAAAATATAATTTTTTTTTTTAATTGAAATGGGATCGATTGACAATGAAACAAAAAAATTAAACTAATTTATAAACCTTTACACTGTTGGCTACTCCATCATTTTTGTCGAAGCCTTCATTTTCTAATTGAATTGCATGTTGGCGAGTCGCTCCTGACAAATGTCTACTAATACTATCTTTTTTAACAATTCGTACCATTTATAAACCGTAGAGCCGCTGCCCTCACGGCACCATTGGTTTTTGATAAGAATTTATTTTGATGAAGCTTACACATAGTACATATGATTTTAATAACATAAATCTTTCCTTTTTCTGTGAGAGTTTCAATTTGAAAAACATCGGCAAAGTCCCAAGACTTAAAAGTTTTCAATGTAATTTTTTTGTTCTTCAAAATGCAATCCATTATTGAACTTCAAACAATTTAGAGAGAAAAGAAATATAATAGAAGTAGAAAGGTTTTCATACTCTACTTTGTCTTATTTTATATAGTAAAATACATAGTCACTAGTAAAGAATAAAAACTGTCATTAAACTGACACATGCCTTAGTTTTAAATTAAGGAAGTCGACAATGTGCGCATGCATAATGAAACATCCGTTGTATAAATATATTTAACATAGTATTTGTGGCATCAGCGGATGTTATAGTCTACTCGTGATGTCTTTAACTTTATAATATCATAGATGAGTTTTTTCCGGGAATTCCAAGATTTCCAATTTACTTTATTTTTCCAGTAAATTAATTAATTTGTTTATATATTTTAATTATATATTTTTACAATTAAATTATATTTTAAATTTAAAAAAAAAAACTTTTGCATTTATACAAATATGTTTTCTATAGTAAAAAATTTCACTAGATCGATTTTCGTAACAATTTTTTTCTTTTTTTTTGCTTTTTAATTTATTCAAATTAACTTTATCGATTATTAGAAATTCCTTTTTGTAAAAAGTTAAATTATTTAAGTTCCGTTTTAAAAGTTTACAAAAGTTTTTGTTTTAAGTTAATAGGAACAATTTTTATTAAAATAATTTTCCGGAATTTTTTGGGATTTTCATAAAAAAAAAAAAATGTTATTGAATCGCACGCAGTTAAACAAATTGTCTTCTTTCAAAAATTTTGAGTAATAGGTAACTTTTTTTTCTTATGTACCAGCTCCCACCCCCTGTATATCTTGAAGTTAAAGGTATACTTTTAACTAAAAAAAGCAAAGAGTAATAATGAAGAATTAATTTTATGTAAATTAAAAATAAGTTATTCATATACTAAAACATTTTTTTAATATCTTTAAAAAATGTCTTCATATTTTTGTTGTCAGAGATTACAAAATATAAATGTTTTTTGTAACATACATTTATATAGAATTTTGTACTGTATTTTTTATTAAAATCTTCTAGAAAAAAGTTTTAGTTAAGGATTGGCGAACTTTTTTCATTTTGTTAAATATTTATATAATAAGGTTAGCGTAAAATTACGTTGAATATAATCGTAATAAAAAGATAAGAAATATCATTGTGATAAAAAGTTACAACAATTATTTTTAACGTAACTTCTTTCAAACTTTTGTAACAAATATTTTTACATATCATTATTCAAAAGTTTAAGTGGTTTTTTTAAAAATTAATTACTTCTTTTATGTTATCGCTAATTTAAAAGTTAAAAAATGATAAAAAGTAGCTTAACCAAAACAGCTCTTTGCGTACGTAAAAATTGCTTAAGGCATACGTAAATCGCTCTAGGCGTAACGCTTTAAAACAAGGCCTTATATATATATATATATATATATATATATATATATATATATATATATATATATATATATATATATATATATATATATATATATATATATATATATATATATATATATATATATATATATATATATATATATATATATGATTACAAGTTGGTTTTCTAAGAAAAGCAATACATCTAAACTTGTATTAAATCTGACAATCCCAGGATTTCAAAATATTTTTAAAAGTATTTACCTCGATTTTGTAGTTACACTAACGCTGTATAATACTTTTATAAAATAGAAATAAGTTTTTAAATGCTACTAATTTTTAAATGCTACTAATTTTTTAAATACTACTAATTTTTAAATGCTTTTCTCCTGTTGATCTGTTTAATTTTTTTTATACAGTACAAAACACCATTTAAAAGTTACATATCATGTTTTTGTTTGTTTTTTCAGCCAAAGAAGTGTAAGTATTGTCAAACAAATGCTGCTTTTAAAAAGAGCATATGCTCCCACTGTTCCAGCTCTGAGAAAAAATATGGTAAACCTCTCAAGTGTCATCAATGCAAGCTAGATTGTGCTTTCAAAAACAAAAACCAAGAGCCGGAGGTACTAATATATTTTTAAAAATACTGTCGATAGTTCATAAAGTTTATTAGCTTACAGTTTTTTCCAGTGTCTATTAAGTTTATATTTACTTACAAATATAAAATGTTTCTGGCTTGCCCAAGCATTTTCTTTGGAGTTGGCTAAATTTTCAAAGTATAAAATAGAAGTAAACCATTTTACTATTGTAGTTTTTCTTATCTTGTTGTAGTTACTTTGCGCCTATTTATTTATTTATAGTTAAACATATTTTGTTTTATTTGTAGCTTTGTTTGAAACATTCATTTTTAATCTATTTAATATGGATGTTACAAAAAAATGTATCCAAATGTTTATTCTTAATGAAAACTATCAGCATTAGATTTTTAATGAAGCACTGTTAATAAACTTTAACTACAATATCAAGGGCCAAACTAATACAAATTTTTGCAGAAAAATAACAAATTTACTGCAATAAAAATAGTGAAATCTTTTATGATACTCTCATAACTGTAATGTTTCAAATATTATTTGTATAAAACAAATGTTAATCCAGGATACGCAAATACCGGATAAAAATACTGTTATATGAAAAAATTTAAAAAAAATAGAAATGAGGTTAATAAAAACTTATTACTACTTCAATCAACTTCAAGAGTATATACAAAAAAACAAACATAAAAGGCAAGCATTTCTTGGTGATACTGGTGGTCTGAAAAACACACGTGTTAATTTTTAAATAAGCTTGCCCGATCTGATGGACAAATAACTAAAAGTAATATTTGTCTGACCAGGTTATTTTGTATCAAATCGTTTTAAAACATGATAAAACTTTTTTTCATCAAAAATTTTACCCAGGAATATAAAAAATAGCCATCCAGATTGCTTCAAATAATAGACTTTCAAAATTGATAAATAGCTTTGACCCAACGCTAAATTTGACTGATTGCTTAACTTGAATCATCAATTAATTTGACCAGTTGCTTATTTGGGCCCATCCTTAATTTGACCCATCACTTAAAATGACTAATAATGACTGACAATCGCTTAGTTTGCCCCTTAAATATTTTTATACTGCAATTCATAATAAAATGTTTTTACTAAAAAAATTTTATAAAACGATGTACTACAACAAATTTTTTATAAAACAATGTACTACAACGATGTTTGTACTACAATTAAATAGTACTAGCTGTCATGACCCATAAAATATGGGTCTAGCGGAGTATTCATACCTACCTCTATTCATACCTACCTCTATTTTTATATTTATTCAGCTATTTATCGATACTCTATTTCTTTATTTTAATATTTTTTAAATAAACGGTAGAAAAATAATTCATTTAAAGATTGCTTTTAGAGTAAAAATAAATAAATATACAAATTTTATTCACATGCTTAGAGCTCATCTTACCCCGTTTATCTATTTCGAAAAAAAAAATCTCAATTGAATGAAAGTACGTTCCTACTTTAAAAAAGAAAATCATCTTTTTAATGTCCTAGAGGCGCAGGTTAACCTTACTGATTGCATAAACACTTAATATAAGTATCTCTAACATAGATGTCAGTTGGGTGACATTTGTTGCGACTTTTTTCAGAATTCAAGGCTTAGAAAATAAAATATTAACCATTCATCAAGGCTTTTTTTTTTTGCCTCCACAGCAGCACTTTCTGGAGTAGCAAGATGGGCTTATTCATTTTTTTCTTTATTAAGATTCAAACTAAAATTTTATTTTAGACCATTTGTAGCTTATTAGGATTCATTACCTGAGCACATTAATAACATAACTATCTTGACTTATGCGCAACAAATTTCTACCAGTGTTATGTTGTTTTTAAAAATTTAAAGCTTTTTTTAAAGTTCTCTCCCTTTTGTTTGTTACAGTGTATAATATCTTTACATATGTAGTGTGTATAATATCTAAAAACTTCAAAAGTGTTTTATTTTGTATTTTCGAAAAATTTTTAAAAATAAAATGAAACAAAAAGATTCTAGTGTTAGGATTATAACAGCGGTGCTTTGCTACTGAAACTCTGCAAGCTAACCACTTGCTAACCAAACAGTGTATCTGACAAAGATTTCAAAAGTATTTAACAAACAAAAGACTTTATAAAACAGAGATAAACAACAAATATAGACCTAAGTTAAGGAGATGTTGCCGCAATACAATTTTTAAGTGAAAATAAAACTGTAAAACTTAAAACATTACATAGTTAAAACATTACTTAGAAGATTACATAAGTTAGATGTTTGCATACACTTTCACATTTTCTTATACAAAAAGTGCTCTATCTTGCCATTAATTTGATTGCAATGACTGCCAAGAGTTCTGTGTCAAACACGCTCGAAAGGGCACGACTACTACTACTACTGCTACTACTACTACTACTACTACTACTACTACTACTACTACTACTACTACTACTACTACTACTACTACTACTACTACTACTACTATTAAGTTCAGCATTATTATATAGATTAAAAATTTAATGCTATTGGTAGGTAAAATCTTGACCAAATTTTCAAAATATTTATTTTATGTAGGCTGGAAAATTGCTATGTTTTAAATGTAAAATACAACACAAAAGAAATCTACATATGCTGGAGAAGCAAGAGCGCAGTGCTAGAAAAATTGAAAAACAAGTTCGGAGTACTAAAGAAAAGCAAGAACAAAATAACTATAAAAAATCATTAAAGTTAGTTGTTTTTACTATATTGTTTGTACTATTTGTTGTCTGTCCAACATTTACTGTCTGTTCATCAACATTTGAAATTTTTAATTTTCTTATCTCAATGATTTTGTATAAGATCTGATCCCTCTGAAAAATTACATCTTGTAAGCTAGTTTAATAACCAAATTTATTTGGTTAATAATTATGATCACATCCCCATCCAAAAACATCCTTATCTAAACAGTATTTTACATGAATCGACATTTATAAGTGTCCTACATCAATCAACATTAGTTTCTACTATACATGAATTGACACTGAAGTGTCTTATGTAAATTGCATTGTGAAACACAGAGCAACAATTGAATATATTTAGAAGATAAATTCAGATAAAAACATTTGATGTTTATATTAAAAAAAAAAAAGTTTAACCACCAACTCCAAACATTTACTTTTGTTAAAAGGTGTTATAAGCTATAAAACTTCAGCAATTCTTCAAAAATACAATTTTCAACTCTTAATTTTCAATTTTTTTGTCATTTTTAGGATTTTGAACATTTTGCAATCATTGTCAGTCAAGACTAAAGTTAGCTTACATTTTTTATCTTTTTACTTAAGCATGCTGAATGAGTTCAGCCCACAGATTCAATTGTATCCAATCCAAAATTGATAATTGTATTTAATCCAGCTCACAGATTGTACCACTAGATATAAACTTCTTTTTATATGCTTTTTAAATTTATTCTTGTTAGTTTTTTTTTTTTAATATATATATATATATATATATATATATATATATATATATATATATATATATATATATATATATATATATATATATTTATATGTATATATTTGTATATGTATATATATGTATATGTATATAAACTTTTGTTGTTACATGCTCTGTGCTACCTTATTTAATTTTTTGATAAAAAAGGTTTAATTTTGCAAAGTTACTGAATAACTTGTTCTTTGTCTAATAACCGCACTAAGCTTAAAGCTCTCACTTTCATAAACATATTTTAGCAATTAACTGTCTTCTTTTCTTATTTGCTGTTTTTAACTTAATATGGTATAATCAATAGTAGAATTTATCTCAAATATGTCAAATATCTGCACATTTTAGATTTATCTTGTGGTTGGCCCATTTTATTCGGAAATAATGTCTTTGTTCAATACCCTGTTTAACTGTTATTGTCACTTGTGTGATCATACCCCTGTTTTAAATGTTAGTTGTTGTTTGTTGTTTTTTTATCTTTCTTTGCATTATCAATAACTTCTCTTAAGCATTTCACTAAATCTTTAATGATAAGGAGGAAGAATTCATCATAAGCATTGATACATATTTATAAAAGATTTAAGGAACATCATTCTATTTATTAAATTTTGTAAGGTTTGGATTCTAGTCATCAGACTTAAGAATATGAAAATATATTTTATTTTGTTAAAAAATTATCAATGATTTAATTTTTTTCTTCCTGTTTCTTAGTGGTAACGATTTATCAAATGAGTCATTTGGAACTTTAAAAGCTGAAAGTCTAACTATACCTTTAAAAAAGGGAATTGAAATGAAATCTTCAAGTAGAGATGGTACTCCACTTTTTGAAAGGTACTCTAAATCATTTTTTAATCTTAAGATTTTTATCAAGCTAAAGAGAGGTTTATTTTGTTTGGAAAATTTTATGTTCTAATTTTTTTAGTAATACAGACAAGGAAGATATGTTCACAGATTCAATTTCAAACATTACTGCACTGAAGGAACAGGTTCCATATTTGTTTTTGTGCTTTTCTTATTCAAAAAAAATCTTAAAATGAAATAAAATTATTTTCATTAACTTATTTACCTGAAGCCAATAAATAAAAAAAAGTAAAAATATTCATATTGCATTCTAAGTGTTGATTATAAAGTATATTTTTATTAATATTATAAAATTATAATAATTAGCAGGTGAGGTGTAACAGGTAACTTTCAATTTAATTATGGTTGCTTGCAGTTGGTATTAAATTAGGTTTAATAAATTGAACAGGTGACTTTCCTTAAAGAAGAAAAATTCAGATATAAAACCTCCTATTTGTGCGTAAGGGTAAAACATTAACCTTATGTTGTAATCATCCTAATAGTAGTAACACCATTCAAATATTTAATCCTGATTTGCAAAACAGGATAATGACAGGAAGAGCATTCCGTTATAAAAATTACTTTTTTTTTATTCAATACATTTTATTCTTATTATATTTTTATATTATCATATGTATAAGAGATGAACTTTAAATTATTTTTATCAAATTCATTAATGTTAAATAGGGTGGAGCTTATAAAATAAAAAAAAATAAAATTTGTATTTTTTAAAGTCTTACCCCCCAAATCTGTTCCATATAACATAGAAACACTGCATAAAAAGTTTGGCTAAGAAATAATTGTTTTTAGGGCTAGCTCAAGTGCCTCCAATATTACAAAAATTATACGAGAAACGAGTCTAATCTATATATTTTAAACAACACAATTAACATTTTTAAACACATTAAATATGAGTTCTAAGCTCAGTTTTTACAGTTTAGGGTATCAGCCTGACAATGTCCAGAGCAAACTCAGGAATTATTGTTTTAAATTCATGTTTTCGGCAGCCCAGACAGAGTTTGTTTCCTGCTATCAGGGTACATTCTGCGATGGTCTTCTACGACTTGCAGCAGGAATTGCAGCTGCGTTTCATCGCGTTTTAAAAATCCACTGTATTCTTGAATGAGGGCCACTCCACATTCAGCGTGGTCATTTACAAGTTTTAAAGACTCGACTGTTTCTGCAGCCAACTTGTAGTCATCTCTGTCTTCCCACAAGTCCGGATCAACTGTTAGAAATCCATATGGCATTTCCATCATTCGGAGCAGATTCATTGACTTTGCTGTGACAAAATCTTCTAAGTTCTTGTTCCCGAATGAATCAAGATCAACAGTGATACGCTTCAAATGATCCTGATCTTGGTCTTCTTCATTTTGCATTGCACTCACCATCAGTCTCTTGGTTGATGAACTGACCCGACTGTCGAAGAAAGCCAAGCTAACAAGTTCCTGTGACAAATACCACAAGTGATTAGAAAACTTGCGTGATGTTGACTTCGAGATCGCTGAATGGATTGATGAATATTCAATAAGTGACTTCAGCAGCAGCAGATCATTATAAGGAGCACCTGATGCTTGAGGTGCAGATATCCAGGCTTTCAGGTAGACACGTACTGTAAATACACACACGTCACGTAATCCTCTCACTTCAGCAGGAGTCAATTTAAATTGAGCCTTAAACATCCAGATCTTGAGACTGTATATGATTTTGGACATCCAGCGGGCATGGTGCATTGCTCCAGGTGACATGAATCACACACCTCTGGCAGGAGCAGCACCAAGAAAAATAATCACAAGTTCCAAGAATTCTTTATAATCATCTCTCGACTGACTCTGTTCAAGATGCTTGTTGGCATAATCAATAGTGTCTTGCTTTATGTCAGCCACGAGACGTTCGACATCATCAGTTGCAATCCCTGGCTCATAATTAGCCGTGTCTATGAAACCCCAGTATTGCTGGAAACGTTTGAATAGTGGAACTTCTGGACAAGATGTTGCTCCCATACACACTTAGAACACTGCACCATTTATCAGTTCCATAATGTGATGCCTACAAGCCAGTGATAAGAGCTCTTTCTCAAGTTTCTGTTCTAGGCGGACAGGCACCAGCAAGCCGACCAGTATTTGAGCTGGTCATGTCAAAACACATTGCACGGATGCTGTCGGCTATGCCCCAGTTTTCAATGGCTCCAAAGGCGGCAGCAGCCTGTGCCTCGCCTGTTCCAGAAGGAAGCTTGGCAACTGTGAGTAGCTGAGAGACTCCTTTTCCTGAAACCAATACGGACAGGCCATCAACTTTCTCTTTTAGTAGTCAAGTAGATCAGGAATCAGTTTGCCGTCCCAGTGAACAACAAGAGGAACGTTATCCCGAAACTCGGCTTTTATATTTGCAGATCTCTGGACTCTGTGTTCCAATCTGTGTCGGCGAATTGAGTCTCTGTTAAGAGCAAATTCATTGATATTCTGTCCTAAGCTTTTGGCAGTTTCTGCTATAACAAAAACAGCCTTGCGGTCTGACATTTTTGTTCGATCTATAGCTGCAGCGAGTTCTGGAGTAACAACAGTTTTTTGTCCCCTCTTTCTTTTAGGTGTCTGAAAAGTGGTGCCTCCAACAGCTCCCTCATCTGCATTGTCACTAGTTTCAGTCTCTTCAACATCCTCTGCTGTACTGTTTTCAGATTCAGAACTAGATGATTTCAGTTCAGCTGTAGAAACGGCTAGCTGGTTCATTTGCTCCATTCGCTGTTGCCTGGCAAACATTTGCTCCCTTCTTTTGGAAGCCCTTTTTTCCTTAGCAGCAAGTGTTTCATCTACTCCAGCCATTGACCCCCTTCTTCCCTTTTCTCGCTGGGCTACTAAGAAGTCCTTGTCTTCTTGTAAAACTGATGTATTGGTCAGGGCATCGGCATGAGCGACATCAAAGAGATTGTCAAGTCTTAAAACAAAAGCCGACTCTCTCCCAAGTTGAGTTGTTGTTTTTTGCGCTTTGTTCTTTTTAAGAAGACGCCATTCTTCAAATGTCTGTTCAAGCTTCGTTTGGCAGTTTTGGTGATCTCTCATCGGGATTCTAGCTTTTTGCCAAAACTTTGTTATTTCCGTGATGGTAACAGCCGATGATTGTCTTATAGTCTCCTTTAATTCGAGATGGTGATACAAGAAAAATCCAAGCGCCATACGTAACGATGGCAGCTTGCTGCCTGTTATTTCAGTAATAGTTTCACCAAGTAGATACAACTCAGTTTGAGATCTGGTTAATTTTGCCCGAGATGACATTTTCAATAATTTAGAATTGAATATTTTATCTGAAATAAATATAAAAAATGCATTGGAAAAATTTGACCATTTAAAGTCAGAAATTTTAACATGTATTGTATGGTTTATTTAATTATTTTTAAAAATATATTGTATATTACATATAATTTATGTTCATTTATTTATCATCGTCATCACATTTATCAGCATTATCAGTTTAACGTTCATATTATAATATAGAATCAATTAATTATTAATATATTTACTATTTACAATTTTACACTCACAAGTCACAAAGAGTTAAGGTATTTTAATATATCAATCTTTTAATTTACCAATTGATGAGAATCAGGTACTGGAGAGAAGAAAGTCAACACCAAAATTATAGAAATCTTCTTTAAATTTGAAAATCAAGAAAATTTATTTAAACAATATTTCAACTTAAATTGCCATTTATATTTTAATAACTAAAACAATGCCTCTATTTAGTAAACAAAATAAGCATACAGCTTTAACAGTGTTGCTTAGTCAGCAACTCAGCATTGCAGTAAACAAGTCTGTCTAGCTAGTGATCCTGTCTGTCTGGGATTATGTTTTGATTTATGTAAAAATTACACAGTCAGCAAAAAATTGAATCTGGGTTATTTCCATTTGCCATGATTGCATTGGTTGGTCAATGATCAAATATGATAGTATAGACCATAATTGTGGAGTATATGATGATTTAGGACAGTGCAATTTAGCTTTGTAGTTAAATTAAGTTCTTAATGTTTAAATTAAGTTCTTAATTCATGTTAAATTAAGTTCTTAATTTAACATGAGAATTATTCTGGTATAAGTAATAATATTATGTAAAAATCATGTGTAGCCAAACTGCAGCTGTCGAGTATCCGAAACTTTATCATCATTGAGCTACCCCTAAATATTGTTTAATTGTTCTCATATTTTGCCTGAATTATTTTTTCATATATAGGAACAAAATGAGAGGGTAAGAAGATCATATTTCAAAAGTTCAAAAATAAGCTCCACCCTAATGTTAAAGTAGGTTATAGTTAATTTTTTCTTTGGAAAAAACTTTTGTTCGGAGAAAAAATTAGTATGGATTTTTGAACTCTTTATTGTTGAGTTGTTTCATAAAAAAAAAATATTTGTTAATTTTAAAACTTAGATTGCATCATTGAAGAAAATAATTACACAGAAAGATAAGACTATTTTAGAGAAAGATATTAAGGTATTTACAAATAACACATTATTTTACAAATTTTGTTATATAAAAGTCAATACACAAGTATAATGACAGCCTTAATCAGTGTATAACTGATTAAAGTTATGTTCAAAAAAAAATTTTAATTCTTTTTAAAATTAGGGTGAACACCTTTTTTTAAAAAAGCTACAAAAAATTTTTGTAACTTTTTTCATATATAGCAGCGTTGGAAATAACAGCCAATCAATAATTGTCTACTTTTTAAAAAAAAAATTTGATCTCCTATTATCAATTCTGGCCAATCAAATTTGATCAGCAAGAATTGCTAAGCTAACTTAATAATAAAAAAAATTTAAATACCTTCAAAAAGAGAAAGTTTAAATTATCATGTTAGCAACTAAATATCTCTAATTGTTCATAGCAACTAAATATTTCTTATAGTTTTGGGACCTATTACACTCTTTAGTTTACAGTATTAAAAAAGGGTGAAAATTATATTGTATAAGCAAAAATAGCAAATGCTTTTGATTGGTGGAATAAATGCTCTTTAAGATAATAATAGATTTTTTTGTAACTTCAATTTGAAAGTTTATTATGTTATATGAATGTTATGTGAATTTAAACTCAAAATGTTATATAAAGATCTAGATAAAGATCAAAGTTTGAGATCATTAAATGCTAAAATGATTTAATAACTTTTTATCATTTGATTTGGGTACCAAATCAAATGATAACTTTTTAATATATTTTTAACAAACTTTAAAAACCCATAACCTAGTTGATTAAGTTTGGTGAAAATTACAAATAATAAATTAGATCTTCCAGAAAATAATTTGATTGTTGACTTCAATATTTTTTTGATTTTAGTCGATTAGTGTTGATTGGCTACCTTAAAATAGTTATTTCCACCGCTGTCATATCAACCTTAATCCACAAAATAATGTGTGTACAAGGGAGTGCTTTAATACTACAGGTTTTTTTTTCTCTCAGATTTCAGAATTTCAAGCAGAAACATGGGAAAAAGATAAGCAAATGAGACAAAAAATTAAAAACTTAGAAAAAACATTAAATGAACAGATCGAAAACTTAAAGGTAACTATTCATCATTTTTTTAAAATATATATAGCTCTCGGGATCAGGGTTGGCATTCGGCAACGCCGACCTAACTGCTGACCTTAAAGTATTTGAGGTCATCAATAAATTGCGGACCTCGTTTTTATGTCTTACGGAAACCCTTTTGTGTCAATTCTTTTTTTGCCGATCTCTATTAGTTTGACTACTAGGTTGGCAATAAATTAATAAAAAAAGGCCAACCGAGTTTTTCCTGATTCCGAGGGTTATATATATATATATATATATATATATATAATTATATATATATATATATATATATATATATATATATATATATATATATATATATATATATATATATATATATATATATATATATATATATATATATATATATATATATATATATATGACATGTTTCCCAACATAAAAGAACATTGCTCTGAAGACTTTATTACAACCTACAAAAAGTTTTTAAATACTTTAATTAAAAACTTTTTAAAAATTTAAATTGTTAATGAGAATAAAGTTGATCTTCTTAATATTTTTAAAGTTTTTTTTAAAATTCATTGAATATGGATAGAAAAAAGTTTATTCAAACAAGGATTAAATGAAAAAATCAAAAAGCAGCAAATTCATATGCTTTCAGCTAACATAAAGCTAACATAAACAACCTAATATGAGTTTGACTACTTTTTCTTCTGAAACACAGAACAAACTGATTTTTGATAAAGTATCAGCTTGTAGGTATTCTTAGATGCAAAGATGTATGTTAAATGATTGATTAAAAAATGTAAAGATAACACTTTTAATTTTTCTTAATAACTATTGAATTCATAAAAGTTTCAAAACAATTTACAATAATTTAAATAAATCTAACCTTAATATTTTTTTCTTTATAAGGTAAATTAAATAGCATTTTCTATCATAAGTCTTATATTGTGACTCAAAATAGTATATACATATACATACATATATATATATATATATATATATATATATATATATATATATATATATATATATATATATATGTATATATATATATATATATATATATAAAATTATATATATGTATTATATATATTATATACATTTATTGTGCTCATTTTTGTTTGTTTACAACATTGTTCCTTAACATATCTTCTTGAATGTTGCGTTATCCCATACATTTATTCTCTCTTATGTCATCTGATTAATTTATTTTAGTTTACCATCTTCGTTATTTTTGTCTCCATTTTTTTCATTTAAAAAATAGTTTGTTTGGTCATTTAATATTAAATATTTCAAAAATTGTACTATATAATTATATAGCTGTTTTTTTTTTTTTGTTTGTTTTAATTGTTTATTTTATGTTATTTGTGTCATTCCGTTAATTAGTTTTTAACTATATAGTGACATGGAACCTAATTTATAAATTATAATTAACTAAGTAATTTTATGGTTAAATAAATAAAAAAAAATATGTATGTATTTATGTATGTATAACTTTTGTTTAGACTGAAAATCAGTTGCTGAAGAAACAAATTTCATCTTCTGTGAAGAAAACCCCAAAAGTTAGTCATGTTGCAAGTCGCATACAAATTGAATCTTATAAAATTTCCAATGCACCAAGTTCTGAACGAAAGCCTATTGCTCCCAACATTGAAGAAACCATTTATTCTGAAGATGTTTCTGAAGATGTAGGAAATATTTCACATTATTTGCAACTGTACTTTTTTAAATTAAATTTTTAAATCTTGACTTTTAAATCTTGAGTTAAATTTTTAAATCTTGAGCAAGCGAGTTTTTTCTTCATGCTTGAATTTAATTTTTAAATCTTGAGCAAGCAAGTTTTTTCTTCATGCTTGAATTTAAAGGTAAAGCTTGCTGCACAAGAAAATGATGTTAAAATAGACATTAAAGAAACATATATCAAACGTCATCATGAAAATGATAGCAATGAAGATGATTTTGAACACCATTCAGTGAAAAGAAAGAAATGCAAAGTTATCAGTGATGATGAAGATAATAGTGAAAATAACTCCAGGGAAGAGGAAACTGTCTCTCAAGATTTTTTTGATAATAAAGAAAAAAAATCTGAAGTGGTAAATGAACTTCATTCTTCAGATGATGAAGGTACTTTTCAAGGATTTTCTGATGGTGAAAACTAATTGTATACATCTGGAACCATAATATTAAAGGTAAGAATGTCTTTCTAACAGTATTCAAATTATAAGTATATGTAAATATATATGGCCTATTATCAACCTCAGTTGGCTGTAATTTGTTTTTTTTTAATAATTCTTGCATCAAGTTTTTACATTTTGGTTTCTAAAGTTTTAATACCTTTTTTATGTTAAAGAATGAATGATTTTTTTATTAAATCATGCAAAAATAATTTTTTGCATGAGTTATTTTATTATATTGTGCATTGTTATTTTATTATATTGTGCAAATAGACTTAGATAAAAATTTGTGTATAACAGCTGTCGTAACTTTTGGTTAAGTTTTGTAGTGGTTACTTGTGGTTTATCAGTATTGAGTTTATATCTATTGTCATGTTTTCATCAAATTTTAAGATTTTAATTTCGATAAAAAAAGTTACTGCATTAATATAGGTTCTAATCTTATTAAGGACTGGTTTCAATCTATTCTCTTGGTTTTGATAGATACCTGCACATTACTCAACACACGCACTTTTCTTGTTTTTGAATTATTCTTAAGCTATTCAAGTTTTTAGATGGTTAAGCAGTTAACTCCTAGTGATTCTAACAAAAATATTAAAGAGCAATGTCTCTAAATCAGTCTAGGTTGATCTCTTTTTTCTTTTTTGAATTAGTTCACTAATTCAATACTTTTGAATTATGACAACTATATTCTACTTCTTTGTTCTACTATAAACTATAAAATATGATAACTTTGGGAAGCCATTTATTTAGTACAAAATTCATATTTGATGAAAAAGAAAGTATTTTCTTTTTAACTTCAGCTAAATTACACTGATCATTAAAAATATTTGGAAAATAGGAGAAATTAATTTTAAAAAAGTTGCATTATTTTTTGTTAAACACCGCAAACTAATTCACGCGCCAAATCCTGTCCTCTTTTATTTTTATGTTATTTACCTCCCCATGGCCGAATGTGTCACTACAGTCAAGGAGGCTACCTTTTTTTTAATTGTGGTTACAACCTTCTCTCAACTCCAAAACACGAATTTTAACAATCAAGACTGCTGCGCCGAAAAACAAGTTAACACGCTATGGGAATGGTAGGGATCAAATTTGGAACTTTTCATTCTACAATTACACTGCTACTTGATTTATCGCAGATGACAGATAATACTACCACTTGGTTGATAATTGTAAAGTTGATATTGAAATTAAAAGAGAGAAAGCTGATGTTCTATGTTAAGTATTTGTTATGCAGGCAATTACACAAGTTGATCAAAGTTCTGAATCTTACATCGCATATGGAACAATAAATAGTTTTTTTTTTTTGTTGAAACTTCTAAAAAGAAAGTTATATATATGTTTAATTAAATATACTTTTATTATTTTTATTTTTAAAAAATCATTTTAATAGTCAATGATTAGGGAGCTGTTTAATATTTTTCATACTTTGTCAAATTCTTTTCGTTTAAACATTTACTCTCAGGTGCTTGATACGAAGGAGAGAAATTTTATTAATTTTTAAACAATCAAAATTAGCTTAAAAGTTAATAAACTTCCAAAAACTGAATAAAATAAAAACTTTCATTGTAATCAACTTTTAAAAATTTATTAACACAAAAAATTTCTGAGCAAGAATTCAAAAAGTTGTTAGGAGTTTGTATTAAAAAATGAGGAACTTGTTATACATTTTTGAATTGTTTGTCCTCATTTCAATCCCAAAATCCTTAGTTTTAATTTATTCAATATTTGCGTGACGAAAGCAAAACGGTGCCCTATCGACTTTTCTCAAAATCATACTGTTTCTACCTTAAATTTTTTTTTGTATGATTTAGTAATTTGTAACTTAGTTTTGTAGATTGCCAATAAATTCTCAATAAGATTGATATCTGTTAAATTTCTAGTCCTGGAAATGGTCTACATTTTACAGTTTTTTTATGTTTTCTGTCAACCATTTTTTTGCTCTTTTACAAGATTCTTTGTTTTCTGATCTCTCCCTGGATCGCTTGTAATCTTGAATAGACTGGCTTTATCTCTCTACGTCTCTTTTTTAACATATCTTTATATATATATATATATATATATATACATATATATATATATATACACGCGCACAGTAGAATTCCGTTAACTCGGACTCTGAACGGGTACATATTTTGTCCGACTTAGCGAATTTACGAGTTAAGCTTTCAGTATGTATAAAGAATTCAAGGTGAATTTAAAATTTGTTCGACTTATCCAGGGTCTAAGTTAACGGTATTCTACTGTGTGTGTGTATATATATATATATATATATATATATATATATTAAATCACAAAAACATTCTTTCAGTCTACAGAGAGAAAAAATGTCAATGCAAATATACCATTCTGAATCTTTTTTAAACAAATCATTCTATATAAGCAATAAAAAATCAAGTAATAGTTTTTATTTTTATTGCTTAACACCACTTTTTCTGTAATACAAAAAGTAATGTTAAGTAAATTCTTAATATGTTTTTACTCTAAAAAATATTTTTGTTTAACTTTTTCTTAAAATTATTTTACTGTTTGTGTAATTATTTTTCTACGTATTGCGATGTATTCTATGTATTATTCGAGTATGCATGTATTATTGGAGAATACTAATTGATAATTTGCTTAGTATTGGAGACCACCAAGTAATAATTTCTTTTTATATTGGTGAGTAATTTTTTAATTGGTGAGTAAGTTTTTATTTTACGAGTTTTTTCTTTAGGATACGGAGAAAATGGTTTAGATCTCAATAATTGTTGCGTTCAAGAGACGTCGCTTTTTATTCGCATTGTGTAAATTTTTAAATTCTAAATTAATTTTGAGTGTGAAATTCTGAAGTATGTTGCAATTTTTCTGTGAAAAAATAAATTATTTCATTACAAATTTTTAATAATTTTGATAGTTTGTTCACTTAAAGCATATTGGGTCAAATGCCCGTCTGGTTTTATATCACTCATCAATTTCAACAGATTGTAATAGTGTACTGTGTACAGTATTTATAGTATTAATATTATTACTATTTCTAATATTATTGCTTTGTAATTGCTATCATTATCATAGGATATTTAATTAAAACTTGTTTTTTACTATTTTTCAAATACCGCGTTTGTAAAAACAGTTGTTACAATAATAATATCTTGATTGAATTAACCATCTAAAGTTTCTTATAAATCAGTAAACTTTGAATTTACTTGAAAATTTTATTCTGCTTTGTTCATTGACATGCTCAAATCTGTTTGTCTGACTGCATTAAATGTTTTAAATCCAACAATTGACTCTCCACCTTAAAATCCATTTTAAAGATATTTCTTTATACAAACTAGTTTAACCAAGCTTTATACAAGAAGATAAGTTTCTTTGACTAAGGATTAAATTTAAAAAGGCATGAGAACATTTTTGAATGTGTTGATTAATCATTTGTCAGTCGGTTCCAGGTAGAACTTTTTTTTTTTTCTTCTTCTTTTTCAATCTTAATAAAAAGTTAAAATATTGTTTTAATTTTTTTAGTGTAGTGTTTCTAATACATAAATAAATATATATTTATAAAGAAATATTTCTTTTAACAAATCAAATGGGTAATGGATAATGCAATATCCCTTTGTATCGCAAACGCATAAAAAATATTAGGATTTATAAACTGAAATTTTTTACAAAAACACTTAAATTGTAACATTAACAATTTCTTTGAATATTCCTCAAGGAAATAGAAGAAAAAGAGCTACTGCTGCCGGCATATAATTTTTTTTGTTGTTGTTTACTTTACTTATTTAGTAAGGGCATTATAACTGAGTGAAAAAAGCAAACATGTTTTTTAGGAAAATTATGGATTTAAACATTTTCTAAAAGTTCTAGCGCTTTTGCTCTTTAACCATATCCGAATTGAGGACGTTTTTTAATAATATTTAAAACAATTTGAAGCAAACCGTCTAAGCAAAGTCCTTAAAGAAGTTCAAAAAGAGACTTCAACAAATAAAAGTCTTAAATTTTAACCAATCTGTATGAACTTAAGAAAAAAAACTTAAAGAAATTTTCTTAAAGCCCAAGAAGAAGTTGTATTAATGAAAAGAAAATTTTCATTTAAAATCCAAGTTATAAATTGTGGAAGATAAGATAAATAATTTCAATTTTAAATATATTAATTCGTCTAAACTACGTTGAGGATTAACAGAAACATTATCTCATAACTAAAAGAATAAAATATATTATATCAGTCACTGATAAAAATAAAATCTTTCAGTCTAATCAGGTTTTAAAAATTGTTCAGCTAAAAAAAAATCTTAGATCTTGATTTTTCAGCATGAGTCTGGTTTATTACTATAGTGTAAGCAAATTAAATTCTATTGAAACAATAAAATGGCTGTTTAAAAAAGCGCATTTGACAGCAAGCCACGCAATAATTAAATTGTTTTCTGCGTGTTCATTCAAAAGATTAATTTGGATTTACGAGGATTATAATCAAATCTAAATATATTTCGAAAAAAGTTATAACATTTCTAGAAATCTATAATAGTACAAGTACTAATATAAAGTAAATACCTCAATATACAACATAACGCTATAGTCAATGATGAAAATAGTAATAATCTGTGGCGTAGGAAGCTTTTTAAATGATTGAAATAAACAAGAACATTCTGAATTTTTTTTTACGTTCTAATGTATGACGAAAAGATTCTTTTAATAAAAAAATTAGTGTGATAAAAGAATGGAAACAAAAGCAACAAGTTGATGAAATATTTTTTGTACTACTTTTAACTAGACTTATATTCGAGAAATTTTAAATTTCATAGTAAAATATTTTAGTGTTCAAAAATTAAATATAAAGTTTGCAAATTTTACATTAACTTTTGAACACTAAAATATTTTATTATGAAATTTAAAATTTCTCGATGAATATAAGTCTAGTTAAAAGTAATACAAAAAATATTTCATCAACTTGTTGCTCTCACGTTTAGTGCAGGCTGGGGGACTAAGATTTTGGGGTTTCTTGTTCATTCTCCTATCATTGTAATATTTTTATTAAAAGAATCTTTTCGTCATACATATGAACGTAAAAAAATTCAAAATGTTCTTGTTGTTTATAAGTTGGTTATTTGAAACATTTAAAAACTTTTCTACGCCATTGGTACAAATAACTGATAAATAGTTATAATATTGTACTTGTAAAGAAATTGTTGAACGATAGGGAAAGGCTTTTGTGATGATAATTCCAGACAAATTAGCAGTTGAGGAATACCATCAGGTCGCTTAATTTTAATATATTGGAGATTAGGTATAGCACATTAGATTTAAAGTTATTATACTGAAAATATATCACTTTTAAGGCTTTACAGGGTGACAACCATAAGGTGAAACACATTTTCGAACCCCAATCATTTATTAACCCCGTACCATATGACTTTCCCCTTGTTTACAGTTTGTTTTGACATTTGTTTAGAAAAAGTTTTAAAAATTTGAGGAAGAAAAAATGAGGGATTGTATGAAAAATACAGATCTAAATCCTATCAGGGAGCTGATAATTTCATTACACAAAAAAAATTTAAGTCAAGCTGATATTTGGAGACGCCTAAAGGATATAAAAGTCAGCAAATCATTGATTAGTCGAACAATTTCTCGTTACAAAACTACTGGGAAAACAATTCCAGCTAAAACTAGAAAAAGAAAGCGCGTCAAGCGCACTCCAGCAATCATCAAAGTGGTAAGAGAACGTTTACGAAGAAATCCTGCTCGCTCAGGTCGGCAGCTAGCTAAAGAGCTGAACATGTCATATACCTCTATGCAAAAGGTTATAAAACAAGATTTAAGACTTAAGTGCTACCGTAAACAAAAAATTGCCGGCCTCACTGACAAAAACAAGGTGGAAAGAGTCAAGCGTTGCAAATCGCTATTGAAGCGGCACGGTGGTGCAGATATTGTTTTTTCGGACGAGAAAATGTTTACTTTGGAGCGCCCGTTGAACAGACAAAATGACAGAGGTTATGCTGTAAAGCTCTCTGATGTTCCTTTAAACGTTAGAACTGTCCCTCGTTATCAGAACGCTTCGGCGGTCATGGTATTCGGGGCCATCTCGAAAAAGGGGAAATTTCCTCTGAAATTTATCGATACAGGGGTGAAAATTAACAAAGAATACTACTTACAGAATGTGATCAAAGATTTGATTGAACCTAAGGCTAAAGAAATGTATGGTGATGATCCATGGGTGTTCCAGCAAGATTCTGCCCCTGCACACAAGGCTATTGTTGTTCAAGATTACTGCAAGCAAAATTTCCCAGATTTTATCGATACCAAAGAATGGCCTGCTTCGAGTCCTGACCTCAATCCCCTTGATTTCTTTGTCTGGGGATACATGCTACAAGAACTGGGGAAGCATAAATTAACAACTTTGGACCAATTCAAGGAACTTTTGATCGACATTTGGGACAAAATGCCACAAGAAACCGTGCGTGCCGCGTGTGAAAACTTTTTCAAGAGATGTCGAGCCTGCATAAAAGCAGAGGGCGACAGGTTCGAATTAAACCAATAAAACTTGTTAAATACACTTGTAGCTTTCTATTGATACCATTTTCGAATAAATATAACTCTTAAATTTGAAAATATAGCTTACTTTATGTGTTTCACCTTATGGTTGTCACCCTGTATTTTAGAGATAGAACAACCTTAAAATGATTTGTTTATGGGAATGTTTCCATACTTAAAATGATTTGTTTATGGGGTTGTCCCCATACTTGACATGCATATCTTAGATGGGACCCAAAAATAGCATGAAATATATTTAGCAGTGTTTCTAGATTTACATAATGGCGAACTTTAGCTAGCATTCCTTTAGATCTGCTGAGTTTTATTGCTAAGACATTCAGATGGCCTTGAAAAAAAAGGTTAGAATAAATTTTAATTTTAAAAAGTTTAAAGAGTTTAAAGGATAAATTTTTGTCCTCTTCGTCTAAAATTTAAATGCTTATTAATTAGTGATTGGATTTAAAGATCAGCTTTTTTTAGAGTTGAGAGAAAGTTTATTAGAACGAAGCCACTGAACAAGATTTTCCAAGATCATGATTAATATATATATATATTTTTTAAGAGATTTGTCAACCAATAGCATGTTAGTATCATCAGCAAAATGCCAAGACGTTTGGAGATTATGTGAGAGGTAAGTTAAGAAAAAATGTAGGCATGCTGTTAGGTCTATAGCTTTTATCACTTTTAGGAGCATTAAAAATAAGACTAGATACACTAACAGGATCAATAAAGAAAAAAATTAGGCAAATGAAAAATTTACTATAAGTACGTTTTGATGCATGATTTCATTGAGTTGTTTTTACGAATAGAGACAAAGCAGTTATTAATTATATTTGAAACAGTGGTCTGATGATATTTTTATTCAGATTTAGCTGCGTAAGTGTTTTATGTAATGATGCTTTAATATTTATGATATCTTTTTTGCCTTTTCATGTACTTTTATGTTGTTCTTAAAATAAGTTATGTAGTATGATTCTTTACTACTTTTTAATAAGTTGCTAATATTATTTTACTTAATGATTATAACAAAAATAGACGATAAATTGAAATTAAGTTGAAGAAAAATTCCCATCCACCCTTTTATTACAACCCCCTTCTTCCATCCTCCTGTTTATTTGATCTTGACTAAATTTCAATCTTACTCGCCTTTCAGTCCTTATATGAATCACGCAAGCCGATTCAGGGTTCTTGTCTCAAAATAAGATCAGATAAAACAGAATGCATTCTTGGAATCAAATCTAGTAACATAAAATTGTACCAATAACCGACCAAAACCTGTTTCGGTCTGTTGATACGATTTCGTTAAATCAAGTTTTGATCTGTTGGAAAATGAATTGTTGCAACTTGTTTGTGTGTCATTGTTGCATACAGATGTGTTTTCTGGTGCAACACTTTTATCCACCATAAATAATATAATATTTTTAATAGTTAGTAATCTCTTCAAGAATTTTAAAAATTATTTTAATGATTTGTTGTTGCAACATATAAGTAGGTCAAAGTAATGTAGTAAGTTTTAACGATATATAATCTTTATTATAAAGCAATTTTTATTTCTAAAGGTT